TTATCTCCCAAATATATCTGCAAACTTCTTCATTTCTGACATCTGATTTGACTGCGTTTGGGATCGTCCATTTCAGAGGTGTTGTGAATAAAAATGCTTTCAAGTTTTGAATACACTTAATATATTTGGCTCCGAAAACAGCGTTTTATCTAGAATTAGATGGGTAAGGTTTAAAATACAATACAGAAAGGTTTAAATTACATCTAAAAATTGTGTTCGTTGCGTACTCTGCACGAATATCCACATCGATTATTGCAGATTAATATCTTTGCAGAGGATGAGCAATCGCTGCTACATAAACGGAATCAAGTGCAATTAAACATTCAAATTCATTTGTGGTACCAACAAAGGATGAACGTCAACAATGTTTATCTGTACTCCACTATTATGTGGACAGTGTATCATCAATAATGTTGGTCGTATGACTAGTTTTTTACAAAACATAAAGTGTTCTACTTTGCTTTTCATTCTGAGTTCATTATCATATGTGGTTTAAGTTTAGTAACTGATAAGGAGTCAAGCTCTAATTTCCAAAGTTAGTTTTCCTTGTCTTGGTAACAAACGGTGTTTTCATCCCAAATTTCCGTTTAGTTCTTTCTCTCAACTGATGACATTCTGAATTATTTTCTGAACTCGCTCTACAATCAGTGGTTTTGTTTTAACTGATCTATACCCATTCTATGCTTACGTATTATTAGCGTTTATTTCCTACCTCACAATTGATTTCTAACTCGCTATTCTTTTATGACTATCGACATTATTATGCAGTCTCTTAAATTTATTTGAATCTTGGCCACGCTATGCTATATTGATATGTGTTCAAAACAGACTAGAAATAATCTCATTCGTATGACCATTTCCAACCTGTTTTGTAATTGTTGTTTTTAAGTATTATGAGTAGCTGGTGAGACCTCAGCGAATTTCTGCTATTCTGTTCAGATTTCTCTTCTCGCTCTCTACAAGATGATAAAGGGAAATACGTTGATGAGGCTCTTGTTTTTAGTTAGTCTCAGATATCCAGAGAGACCGTATTTGACTTTTGATTGCTAAGACATAGTATTTAACAAAATGACAACTATTAAACTACATGATTCGTTAACTTTAAACGACATTAGGAAAATGATCAAATACATTATACTGAATGGGTGGGCAAAAAAGAAAAGTATCAAGTAGATTTATTCAAAAAATATATGGTGAATCGACTATCTTAAGACTGCAATTAGGTTCTTACGAAAATCGCCAACTTAGAATGAATTCAAGTTAAGTGCTTTCCGGTGATTTCCTAGAATACAGTAACCATGACAGCTAATTAATAAATGATGTTGTCGTTTCCTAATAGATGGCTAGTATCCATGGTTTACTAATCAGGATAATTTACTCCTAAGTATAGTTCTCTTGTGTTACAAAATCGAGCGAAACCCTAATGAGTAACACTATCTTCTCATTAAAATTAGTAGTGCACTGATGCATCTTGAATGTAACAACTGTCAGCATAAACCTAATCAAAACTAAAGGAAATTCATAAAAATATGTAAATCTGAGCCAGAATATCAGGACAAGTTTTACTTATAAAGTTATTCTAAGCATTTAAACAAAAATTAATCTCAAATGTGTTTATTCACATGAAGTAAAACTGTGCATCTATTGGTAGGTATTGATTCATTCTGTTTGTATTTTGTTATTGTAAAGTTCTTTCAACTGACCGTTGATATAACTAATTGAGTGCACTCCATGTTAATCACATAATAATCTTATACTAACAACAAAGTAACACGACCATTTTCGCTACCTTGACGTGGTGGTCGAGCTTGCATATCGTGATGAAGTAACTGAGGTATACTGGCTGGAACAACTGTTCTTCAAGGACCTACCATGCCAGACAGGTTGGTCGAAGAGCGGTAAGAATAAAAGCAACAAACCCAAGGTCCGAATGGGAAGTCGTACTGCTGAATGTTCAGAGGTGTGACGGAAGTGAGTTGTTTCCCTCAAACAATAAGCATGACAGCGACGCTGTCTTCCCACAAGGAAGGGTGGGGTTAGTAAAGGTCAACCCTAAAAATGCACACCTCACCTTATCCCACGGATATCCGTCTCCGGCGATAAGGTCTCAACAAGGACGAAGCTAACACGAAAATTACTCATAAAAAGGTCGTGTGTGACTGACCTCAAGCAGTTGTCCCTTGGGCACTGCGGTCACGCTCTCAGGTCACTGAGACCACCTCTAATCCAATTTCCTTTTCAGGTACCTCCAGAACAACCCTTCCACTGTGCGGGCAACCGGGAAGTGATAACTGCCCTCATACCTCTAACAGCATACAAGACCAATGAACAACAAAATAAAAGAAAACAACATAAAACCAAGATTTATTCAGTTATCATAAACACTTCCAGCTACTCATGTTTCATGATAAATTCAATATGGAAGTAAGAAATTTAAATGAAAATCAAACTAATGATAAAAATATTTTTCACATAGTCTCATTGTTATTATTACAACGGTACAGTCCAATCAGTTCGATTATTCCATGAAACTTAATCTTTATACATCAACTACGTTTTCCTCTTCATAGAAAAGAAAAAGAAATCAAAAACAAGCAACAACCGAATACTCACTCAGTTTTACTATACAAGACGATTTTTGACGATAAGACCATAATTCGATTTATCGAATATTTCAGATACAGTTGACTCGAATAGAAATTAACTATATGAACGAAAATCAATAAAGTTAGTATAAATCAATGCACAATCTACAAATATAGGGAATGTATTTTATCGAAAAATATGTTTGTAGGTAGTTTTCGCCATTAATTCGTATCAGTAATATTGTGGTGAACAGAACACGGGTGGGGTACATTCGAATGTATTTAACACAAAATTACAGGACTTGTTAATAAAATCTAACAATCATAAAGTAAATGCTTAATTTGCAAAATGTCCATCGATTGTCTCAAAATGACACACTTCATTGTTCTTGCATTTTTATACGAACTGCATCCTGTTTCCATTCTTTACTGTTCGATCCTCTTGTCTCCCTGCTGCCAGACCTTCGGTTCACGACTAGCATCATATACTACTTGTGTCAATATACGTGGCACACACCACAACATCACTATTAAAAACTTGACATTACTAGAAAGATGTTTTTCTCAAGTTTAGACTGTACATCTGCTACTTTTTAATGTACCAACCTCTGAATATTTAAATCTGTTTGCTAGTGAATAACCGTTGTAGTTAGAATTCAGTAGTCTGCCTATATACACCTTAAAATAACGTATTATACCATCTCTGACAACTTTTTTCAACTATCACTACTTCTCAATAGAACTTCTAAAACTCATCAACAAACAAATCGATACAAAAACAAAAAATGACTTTTCTTAAAGCATATGTTATGAAACTACTTAATCTGTATGTAATAAGTCATCAATTCCAGTCAGAGATAATAGAGCGACCATAACGGCAAAAAAGCACTTATTTAGTATACAAACTGTTTGAGGCATAGATCTCTAATGGTCAGTGTTACTGTAACCACATTTTAAAACGTCATAAATATTTGGTTCTCTTCATAATCCTTTTGTCGGTCTAATAAACGGTTCTCATTGATGTAAAAACTTGGAGACCTGTTATCGAATTATCTAGAAATAAGTTTTTGTTAACGTTCTCTCTAGCAAGACAGCGGCTTTGTTGAAATGTTAAATATTGTGTAAGGTCATGTTAAATGTTATTTCGTCCCATACTAGGACGAAACGGCCGTCCAGTGCTTCCTGGTTTTGAATGGTGGTCTAGCTTCAACTGACTCATGATTTCAATCTGTGAAAAACTGATTTCACCCAATTTAAGCTTGATTCAGGATATTCGAAGCTTCACTCTGTAAATTTCAATGTGATTTTATAGTTTATAATACAAAGAACTGGTGTTCGAAGATTTATTTGTACTAACACGTGGTCGAAGAAGTTTAGTTTATTAATTACCTACCTACTCCATATACGTTACAAATAAGAGAGCAGTTCGCTTCAAGGTAATTCAAATTTGATAATATCTTTTAAATGCGTTTAGCTTTTGATGAGACCAACGAATGCGTTGTAATGCAGTTAGAGAGAAAAACTTAATGATTAAAACTTAGTTATTCTATAGAATAGCTAACTCGCAGCATATTAGATGGTAAATCTGTTTTATACACAAGTTTATTTTTATGTACTTTACTATGTGTTATAGTAAGTTGCCTATCACGTTCACCGATTATTTAAAAAAATGTTATTTATATTTGAATTTCATAACATTTTAACCAGTCACTTTACAGAGGTATAACTCGCTGTGGTAATCCTTCTTGAACAATAGTGATTAAACGTTAGATACATTAAATAACACTTACTAAGGCCAATAGCTTCCGTACATTCACAATTTCTATTGATTTCAATACTAGACTTCATATTACCGTTCTTCACATCTATGTAACGCTTTTGTAAACGTAGTACCTTTTTTAACTATTTTTGTTACTTTACAGTTCATTCATTTGTATTTAAGTATTTTTTTGACTTTTCATACCTTATTTCTTTCCTACTTACTAAAATTTGATCGGGATAAGATTCAAGATAAGTACTTTGTTACAAATAAAAGTATGATCAGCTGCTATTGCAATTTTATATAGTCTAACCATGCCGAAAATAACAATAAACTACAGCCGATGCTCAATAGTATATGATTTGGAGTTGCTTAACTTGTATGTTTAACCTTTTAGGACTATACATGACATAATCTACAGACAAGGCATATTTCATATTAACTTCTATTAACAAATCTTTTTCAGGAATATTAGATACGCTAAATAAAAGTGAAAGTAAATTAATTTGATACTGAATTCGAATTCATTCTTCTAATCTTATTGTGTTGCCAACTTGAAAAAAAGAAGAAAAAAGTTAGAGGATTATTGAATGTTCCCATTGTACACTAATGAACATAAAATTGTTGTCATTAGTCCATGTACTTGGATTTATGAAATCATCAATTTTTGAACAAAAACTAAGTGAAGTGATTTGTTAAGATTCATAACTTCAAATAAATCGTGACTTTTGGATAGAGAAAATAAGAGAAATCTTCCTTTTATTTTTAGTCACGTTCAAATATGTATAACAATATGTTTGATTAAATGATGTATAATAAAACACACTCAGTATTATTAACGATGATATTACTAGTTTGAAGTGATCCTTGAAACAGTAAACAAAATGTTTATATATTTTCTTTTATCCTAAGATTTAAATGAAGAGATCTGAGAGATTCATAAAGATGAAATTTTTTAATAGGTAAACAGTAAACTTGATTTCTTGTAAACCAAGAAGCTTTACTGGTTTCTCTTAGGAACCTAATATTTATTTCAAATATTTTTTAACGATGAATAGTTTCGATATCAATCGATAAATTTCATCCATTACTGGTTACTGGAATGGAACTCAATAATCATTGACTTTTCACTTACTGGTTTCGTATGCTTACCTTATGATGTTGTTACTTTCAGACCTAATAAAGATGAAAATAAAAAAGTACAAGTCTCATGTATATGATGTTCAGTAGTATTTTTTTATAAGGAAAGTATAAGTCACAATTAGTTCAGAAAGTGAAATATTGACACAGATTTTGTCTTGTCTTCTTAATAAAACTCTTTTCTTCTTTTAATAGAAAAAAGAAACAAAAACGCATTAATTATTAATTCTATTGTCTTTCTTTTAAGAGATCATATATAGAGTAGGTTTTATGCCGTGTTAATGCTGGAATACCACCGTAATTCATAACATCATCAGCTCCTCGTTTTCCAAATCTAATATAACGTTTGTTTGGAATTATCTCCCGATTGATGTAGTCACTGTATTCATAAAGTGGATCATAGAACTGTTTATGAGAATCTGAAAGGTAATTAAAAACAGTATTGAAAATGAAACTTTGCTAAACAGTGTTATATTTACAGTATTACTAAATATAATATTAAATTTTTATATGAGAAAAATGATAAGATATTTACAGCAATCAATGAAGGCTTAATGTAACTTACTATTCATATTTAGCTATAAATATATTTTTGTTATATCCAAATGAGTAGAAAAATTGTATTTCTGACGTTTCATGACTTAATGTAAGCCATGTCTTCAGAGTAAACAAATAGCCGACATTACATTAACACAAGTTTAATCCTGTGTGAGAGATCGTGGATGCGCACTGTTGAGGAGTCACATAATAGGACAAAACGGCCGTCTACTGTTACCAGGCTTTTAGTGGTGGTCTAATATCAATCGATTCATGATCACAATCGAAAAACTTAACAATATTCACAACCTCATAGTGATAATATATTTATTATTTACTCTCTATACAGATTCTCGATTTATTTTAAACTATCATGTTCAACCTTGGTATTAATAACGTATATTCATGTTTAGGTGCGAAATCAGATATATGCGGTTATTTTGAATAAATATAATTGGCATTATAATTACAACCAATGAATGATAATCTGATTGGTAGTCTCATAAGAAATGTATTTCAGATAAAAGCTAATAGTGGAGCATAAAAGTCAGAATATTTCATAGTTATGCGACCAATATTTCATGATTGTGAAAATTGTAAGTGATATGGTTTTCTAAAAGTCATAAAATATACTAAAATGTCATTGTCGTAAAAATGAACAGGCCTTCATTCCCATAACATTCTTTGTGTGACAGTACACAAAGATCACCATTGTGGATCAAATTTGATTTAGGCTGAACAGTCGCAGACTAAAGTTAAAAGTCAATAAATTACAGTTTTCTGTTTATTAAAATAACTATTGAGCCTCTCATCAATGTAAATCAACTACAGAATGTACGTCTCTAAATCAGATCAAAACTCTTAGACTAACGTTTTCAACAAATACTCAAAAGTAAATCATTTACTGGTAAATCAAACATTATCAAGTTGGCTATTTAGGGAATAATATAAAAATTCATTTGTAAATTACTTGGATATAATTGGTTTTTATAAATGTTGCAATCAATAATATATAACATCCATAATATAAATAGATGATATAGCAACATTTCATATATGGGAACTAAACACTGTACACATGCCTATACACTTGTTATGTATATTTTATACAAATAAAAACAATTAAACTAACAAGGTTATTTATATTTTATTGTTGTAAAGATTGTTAATAAGAATCTGTTATATAAAACAGTGAAGTTTAGAGAGAAATACTCATTTTATTTACTTTTTTGTTCATTTTTATCTCATTTCTTTGACCCTATACATTAAGGTGAATTATATAATGAAGAAAAGGAATCCGTAATTACTATCACGTTTCTGTTTACAGTCCTACTAATGATTTGTTTTAGCTAAGATAAAACTGAATATTGTTAACGATTATTGTTATTATTGATATTACAAACAATGTATAATCATTATCATTAAAAGGTAGATTTACATAATTAGATATGAATTTCATAAGAAGCTTGTGACTTAAGGTTATATCAAGGCAATCCGCACAGGATGCACGTATGCCAACAAGAGAGTGATCAATTGTAGTTCTAAATAACAATGAGAATATGCAAGTAAACAACACCAAGTGAATTTAGACTCCACCCCATTGCGAAAGCGAGTGATTCAGTAACTAAATTGATAACGCGATGGTGTTTGAAGCGAAGGGTACTAGGTTTGAGTCCTAGAAAGAACAACAACTCTGGGATGCAGGCGCATCCAGCGAACGAGTCATAAATAGGACAAAACGCGCTTTCTCAATTCCACTACTAGGCGCTAAGCATCTTTGCTTCATAAGATAGTTGCTCGAAAATTAGCTTGGTAACTGAATAATTAAAGTGATTGTTTTAGTGAATTCAATTTTTTTCTTTGATAGAGTGATATCTTTTACTTCCCCACGGAAATTAGATCATTTTAATAGTGAACTTTTCTATTGATTACCTTCAATTATAGAATATAAGAAATATACTTTGCATAATTTGATCTCACATGTATGTAAAAACAAAAAAATCGTAAATTATTTTTTTATATGAACCAATTGAATGTTTCATCAGAACACTTAAATGATAAGAGACAAAATGATATCAAAAGTTTAGTTCTATTTTAAATTCATGTCATTCGATGTATGTGTACCGTATTATAAATTTGACATTTGGCCAGTACTTGAAAAACCATAGAAACTAATTAATAATAAACTCTTAACCTAGAAAAAAAAAAGATTATAATTGACATAGGATTATTTACAATCCACACAACAAATTGATTAATTAGTAGATATGAAGTTTCATTAGAATCAAATACATTCAATTTAACATCTTCAGTATTGATATTTGCCTAAATGACAATTCAAAATAACATGTTTTTCTTCTTTCTTTCTTTCAATATTATATATTTAGCTTAGCTGACATGAAGTTGAGATGTTAGAGAAGATTTGTAGCTCAGGTGGATGATTTTGATGGTGTTTTAAGCTTTTATACATATGAAGAAATAGAGGGAATTTCTTATTTGTATCCATAGAATTATTGTCTATAGTAAATATTTAAAAGAAATAATTAATGAATCATGTGAAAAATATATCTTACGGTTCGTTTAAGTTATTAGATTTACAAACTATAGAATGAAAGAATCTGGTTCATAATGTAATTATTAGATTGAAGTTTCAATAGATGTATTTTTATCTTATAACTAATATTGAATTAGAAAATACTTTTGTTTTGTTAATGATGTTTATTCTAGAAAGAAAACTTTTATTATAGACAACTATCTACTCTTTTTTACTATGAATAGAATTACCATGTATTAGAAATAATGTTTTATATATTTGTATCAAAAACCTTTATTTTTAAGATCTTAAGACTAGTAACTATACATTTCATGTATATATGCCTATACACTAAAATGAATCAGACTTCATTTAAAGTGGGGAAAAACACGCATCATTTTACTGCTAATTACATTAGCCTAAATGTTGTAGATCTTTTAAATAAATTTAATAAATAATGTATCTATATTTTCATTAGTTTTATCTCCTATTACTATATAACCGATATATTTGCTAAACTATATAGATTTCATTTTATAAAAAGTATATGTTCAGTTTTTTTGAATGGAATGATGAGGAATAAAACATTATTTTACTCCCTATGTCATCACTACGGAAGGTAGAAGTGAATTTATGCTTACTGAAAAGTGATAGAGTATTGTGATATCAGTTTCCTTTAATTTATACGGAAAATTTACATTAATGTGTAACTAATGTAAAATATTGATAAGAATTGAACTCAGTCAAATAGGTAGATTATTGGAGAAAATAAAGTAATTTTGGATTAAGGTAGTACACCATCATTTAAATCGAAAATATTCTGATTATATCAGTTTTGGGTGGAAAAAAGTTATTGCTCATCATTTTTTTGATTAGTGTTATTATGAATGATGAAAAACTCCCAAAATTTTCGTCATTTTATTAAACTTTAAAGCTAGTGTAACTATTAAATAATTACAGCGGTGTCCAGATCAAGATAAAGGGAATTCTGTTGTTTAGAATACCGATATAGCAAAACGATAGTTAGTCAATACAACTCTAAAGCTAAATCTTTCATAATGTTACAAACGCAAATTAAGTTAAAAACCTTCATTTATGACACTCATATCAGGAAATCAGCTAAGCGAAAAGTTGGAGGATAATCCAGAAATTAAGGATAAGGTTGATGAACAGCCAAATCAAACAAACCAAGACAAATTATGCAACAAGAGTAACAGCTCCATAGATTTAGAACGTTAAAACCTCAACCATGATGTTTAAGTCATTCACGAGAAATAAAAAGTTCCTGATCATATGAAGTTAAATACAACAGAAAGTTAAATTTTAAGATAATGACGATGACTTATGAAACAATTGAGATCAACCAGTCACAACAGGGAAAGAGGTAAGTGACAAAGAAATTAAAAAAAACATTAACTGCGAAATGCTATATATATATATATATATATATATATATATATATATATATATATACGGATTAGAAAGCATGGCGAATCCAGTAGCATTGTGATATGTGAAACTGATGTTGACTTATATAAGTAGTATGGATGAACAATCGAAATTGGAATGCCTTGCTGAGGAAAGTTGAGAAAATCTAAGAGAAGAGAACAGAGAGTGATTAATGTGAAAACGAAGGAACAAACGATGGAATACAATTGATGGATATTTTGTAAATCAAGTGTTTATTGTATGGTTCTCAAATTTCAGCAAGATATTCTGTCATGTTTTATTAACATGAATTTCGTTGTGTCCACTAGTGTTCTCGTGTTCACTACAATGCTATTTATGTTCATCATATTGTAATCAAATAGTTGCTTGAATATTCATTGAATAAAAATTTAGAACAATGTAAAAAAATAAAGAAAACTTTGTATAAAATAGGGACTGTAACGGATGTGCTACATATCGAAATAACCTATTGATTACTTATTATCACATTCATGAATCATGAAATCAATGCATGCTATTTAATGATCATTTTAATTTAAGTTATTTGTTAACAAAGTCAACCATTAAAGAGGAACAATGAATTTGTAGAATCTCGGAGAATATATTTTGAAGTCGATTCAACGTTTCGCCTAGCAATCTGGTTAAAGCTTTTTTCAATATTTTACAAATACATTCTTCCGCTTTAATGTCTCACAATAATTCGGTGCCCAAATACTGTGAAACTATTCGATCAAGTTTAGTCGAAATTGAAGCATTGTTATCAAAATTCTTATTGATAGGTTATTGTGTTGTGTTCAAAATACAATTCATTCAAAAAGAACATTATTACTATTTTCAATATTTAATACAACGTAAATACATAATATACTTGTATTATCCCAATGAGTAGAAAAAGTAAATTTTCTAACGTTTCGTGACTTACTAACGACCGCTTCTTCAGAGAATAAATAACCGAATTAAAATTAATCCAAGTTTAAATAGTACAACGGAACAGCAAGAATATTCTATACTAGGTCACGAAATGTCAGAAAATCTAATTTTTCCACTCATTGGTATATTACAAATATATTATTTTTATTTATAACAATCTACTCAATCCTCAATTTAGTGGAAATTACCAAGACGAATCTTGATAATGATTTAATACAACAGTTTTCATTCACTGTAAATGACCATACAAAATGTTATTTAATTTCAGTTCTCATTAAATGTAATGATAGATTTTACTTAATCAAAGTATTTGCCCTACTTTGTGATCGAGAATCCTAGAACTTACCTAAAATTGATCACATAAGCTATATGTGTGTTATGCCCCGATAAGAATAATGAGTGGTAATTTTTGGGATCCATTTGTGGACGAATACTAAACGTATATTTTACCGTATGATTGTTAATTAACTAAATTATTCTTATCGGTTAACTGTTTAAATAAACCTCCATGGCAATATATATATATATATATTCGTTATGAGTTGTGTTTGTGGATCGCTCGTTTCTGGCTATTTGCAGAATATACTTTCCCATTCCAAGCTTGGATTCCTCCCTCTAGTTAGCGGGGTTGGGACGCATCAAATAGCTAGCCTACTGGTCTTTGGTCACTTGGTCTTTGTTCTCGTTCGTAGATTAAGTGAAATCGTGATAGCTTCAAACCTAGCAATGTGAACTACCGTAATTAACAATATGTGAAAATAATTAATATTCAACCTTATCAAAATACATGCAAAAATCAATTTTAATGATATAAATAAATGAATAACTTGCTTTGTTCTTCAGATAAACTATATACGTTAACCAATGATAAGATCAAAATAGTTAACACCATTATAGTGAATAATTCAGATAATTGTGTTTTCATTTTTATTTGCGTACTTTGTCTAGAAAAGAAAAGAAAAAATACACAGAATAGTGAAATGTTATTTCATTCACAAAAAAAACTTGTTATGAATTAGTCTCTATGGGGTTTATTCTATATTATATAAACCATTTTAATGATCATAAGTTAACCAAAGAAAAAAATGTATTCATATATATTAAATGCTTGTAAAACGTTTGTGAAATGTTAGATCTTTATTTACAGAATGTAAAATAAAATAAATTTACTCTTAAACATGTATCTAATACAAACAGTTTAATTTATCATCATAATCTTTCAATGATTGTTCTGTTTTAAAAGTTCTTTTGTAATAAGTAAGCATTTCATGTTGTTTACTTTTTAATAAAGATACCGTTAAACTCTTCGGTACATAATATTTATTAAAATTGGAAAGAATAATATTCACAATTGAGTTCAAACTTTCTTTGAAACATCGCATCATAGTGACTGTTGTCTGTTAGAAGTTTTGGGGAAAATCAGCATTATTTGAACTGAATTATTTACTAAATCGTCTATTGAATAATTAATCAATTAACATTTTTCACATTATTTCATTTTGTTGTTATCATTCTTTTAATTAAACCATTAAATATGTGCGTCATAAAAGAATTTGATTGAGATCTTGAACCAATTGATGTTTGACCATCATTGAAAACTTGGAAGCACTGGACGGCCGTTTCATCCAATTGTGGGACTCCTCAGCAGCGCTCATCCATTGGATTGATTGAGGTCAGACATTAACAACATTAGATGCCGGCTCAGTGATCAAGTAGGTTAGGCGTTAGTGAGGAAGTCTGAGGGCCTTGGTTTCGAATTCTACGAGCGGGACCGTAGATGTTCACTGTTGAGGAGTCTGACAATAGAACGAAACGGCCGTCCGGTACTTCTAGGTTTTCAATGGTGATCTAACATCAATCGGTTAAAGATCTCAGTCACTAACTTGTTAATCTCCACAACCTCATGCTGATAAAAGAATTTGTTTGATCATCATCTCTTTTATTAAGATTGTTATTTATCGTTAATCAACATTTATTTCATTATTACAATTGACTTCATACAAAGTCGCATTGTTTAAAAACAAAATTTTCTATAAAAACGTTTAATGATTAAGGAACATTGTCAAAGAAATATTCATGAATCAATTTGTTTATTAGAAAAAGAAAGAAATATAAGCTTTTGAATAGTTTTATGGTTTTTCATGGATTTTAATCTGCCAATCTTGGGGTGTGTGCTACTTATATCGACGTAAGTAGTATAGAGTGTCTGGCAGCAGAAGGTCGAGGAAAGAACGGGAATAGAAAGCAATTGGTATAAGAATGTAAGAACAATAAAGTATGAGACAATTGATTGACAATTTGCAAATGAAGTATTTTCTGTATAATTCTCAGATTTTGCTTAGATGTTTCATAATTTTGTGTTCCAATACATTCGATTGTCCTCAGTTGTGTTGTCATTCACTACAATACTATGGCCATATTTACTTTGTAAATGGTAATTATTTTTAATACTTTACAAACTTGCAAAAATGTGGTACGTGTTCAAATTAAAATTAGATTATGAATTACATTTTATCATAAAACATAAATGTTTATCCACATGGGTAAATTCATTGATTAATTTATTATTGTTATACAGCTAAGTATTCACTTCCATTTATTCATTGTTGAGAATGTGCTCTAAAATGGTGATCCATGTTTTAAATTATAAATAGAGGAGTTTATTTAAAATAATAATAGGATGTATGTACTGCATGAATTAACTTACATATTGAGTTTTATATGATTACGTTTAGATGGGTTTCCATATAAAATTATCAAGTATTCTTTAGAGTTTTAACAAATCTAGACAAAAATCTGAGCTAAAAGGGTTTAAGTACTTCACTGTCTAGTACAAATAGAGTTCGGTAAGTATTGAACTGTCAGTAAAGACAGAATAGTAGATTGAGAAAATTTTATTTATGGTCGTTGGTAGAATCCAGTCTATATGTTTATAAAGTGTTAAATAATACCATATGGTTATAATGATCAGAAATATATTGTAATAGATCAAATTTTAAAAAGTATAAACCGTACAAGTATTTACGAAGTTTGGAATGTTTGTGTATTTTAAAAAATGACCTCAGCTAGCTAGAAAATATACGTATAGTAAATAAAAATATCAGTATAGGATTGTGGAGATCATCGAGTTTCAATTGCCATCATGAACCGACCAATGTTAGACCACAACATCATGGATTAATTGAAGTTGGATTCCAGATCATTTGTTAAGAGGTTAAGCATTTGAACTCAACCGAAGGTCTTGAGTTCAAGTCTCGTGTATGTACTTGTGGATGCGCGCTAATGAAAAGTCCCGTATTAAAATGAAATGACCATATAGTGCTTCCAGGTTTTCAATGGTGGTCTAACATTGATCTGTTCATGATCTCGATAGATTAGAATATTAAAAATGAAGACAAAAAACAGATTACATGTTTTGTAATATAATAACGTTATCATGACACAATAAAGTATAAAAAATGAAAGAAATACGTCATAGAAATAATAATTTAATACTGATTATACAAATTCGTTGAATTAAGTCCTTCCTCAAAACAATTTACTCACTGAATACCGATTGCGCCCACTTCTGAATACCTGTTTTTATAAATAAACATAATAATACATTTTATAACTAATCATAATAGTCACAGAAGACCGTTTTGTGAAAATGAATAGTTTGTGTACTTTTCTATTTATTTTCACTTCTAGTTATCGACCCTATACGACCCAGTAAATAAATAATAAACATAGAAATTAATGATTAATTTCATGTTTTTTGTTTTTATTTACAAACCAACTGATTATCATAATTGTTTGAGTAGTTATTTTGATTGTCTACGAAAAATACACATGAATTGTAAACATTAAATAAATAAACAATAATTATGCTCGGATGACTTCACCTTTCAATAAGAAAACTATCAAGAGAACAATAGTGACATTATACTGTTTTCATTTTGTATCAAGTCACTATTTCATATTTATTTAGCAATAGTTTTCTTTAATTAATCTATTAAATAGACCGAAATGGAGAGGCGTAAAGTTTTTCTAACGATTCATGAAATAATAACAAATTTATATCCTTGCAAAATTGTTTATTACATAATCTTTGTTTTAACTTATGAGAACTACAGTCAATTCACTAAAAGGTGAATTAAAAATATCTTTGTAATTTTATTAATTCTTTCTTGAATAAATAAAAAAGAAAGAACGACCATGAGAATTTTGAAAAGTTTTCTTATCTTCCTCTATTCTTTTTACCTTAAGTTGATAAATGGAAAACTTCCTTATCTATTGAAATTGTAAGTATACAGTGAAATAATTTTCATTCATCAAAATGTGAAATCGAAATAATAATGAATATCTTTCTCTCTTTTTTTCCCGTAAATATTAAATAATGTAATAAAACAGTACGTTATATTTTAACGTAGTATTTGTAACCAAGTAGTGGTTTTATGAGGAAAATAAACAGTATTTTCACAAGTAAAGATAGATAGAGGCTAGTAGTGGAATTCAGGAAGCGCGTTTCGTCATATTTGAGACTCGTCCGCTGGATGTACCTGTATCGCAGAGTTGATGTTCAATCTAGGACTCGAACCTAGTACTGGCCGTTTCAAACGTCATTGCGTTATCTACTTGACTACTGAGTCCTGATTGCCACCTGCCTGTTCAATGGTGTGGAGTTTACTTGGTGTTATTTATTTGTATCTTCCCGTTGCTATTTAGAAATTAAATTTACAAATCTATTGTTGGCATGTGTGCATCTTGTTCAGTCCGTTCTTTATAATTTACGAAGAAAAACTACAAATTATAACAATTTAGCGTTATTTATGAAAGTAAAATTCATTTCAGTCTTATTCAGTCTTGGACAGCAATAAAAACATTTGATTAAATTGGCTGGAGAATGAATATTTTTATGCTTATCAAAGTCATTTTCGACGATACAGTACACATGAATCAATATAGATGATAACATGTTTATAAACAAGACTGATATTATGACTTAACTTATTATTATTATTTTACTTTAAAATGTTTAACGCCTACAGAAAGTATCCTAAACTCTAATTATTTACTTATATATATGGCAAACCTATGGAGGGGGAATAATTGTTAAGCTTTCTTTCCATGTATCAAGATTTAAAATGAATTAAATAGTTTGTTACTTAATGAACATAATATATTCTGTTAAAAAAGTAGATTCATAAAAACAGTAAATAGATTTGGAAAGAAATGAATAACAGTATCCGAAAATTCAAAATACGCATTTAGTATAGCTTTGTAAATAAAACTGATACATTTAGATAATAAGAAAGTCTGCTGAATAGTTGCTTATTCCTAGTCACCTTGGACTGTTGTGAGATAGTAACTCACTGAAGACAGTGGTGGATGAGTCGGTCACTTTCGGCGATTAGTTAAAGTTGAAAATTAACACCGTTGAATGCCAGCTTCGTGATCTAATGGTTAAGCGTTTTCGCGCGAGACTGATAAGTCTTGGGTTCGAATCTCGAGAGACGGGATCGTGGGTGCACGCTACTGAGGAGTCCTTCACTGGAACGAAACGGTCGCCTAGTTCTTTCAGGGTTCCCATGGTGGTCTAACTTGAATTGACTCATGATCTCAAGTATTGATATAATCCTATATATGTTAGATAAACACATTTGTTTTATACAAGACATCATTGTAATTTCGCTCGAATGAACTAGCTCCATACTTTATTTTATATGTTTTCATTTATTAATGAGTAATTTAATTAGTATTTTTAGAATAAAAATGTTTCTTTTCATAAACGTTTCAGAAGTAAATAAAGTAAACATTACACGAAGCATTTAGATAAAACAAATTTATGCATAAATCACAATTCTAGTTTTCAATAGATTAATTATGTATTTTCTAGTAAAAGAGAATTTATCCAGAGGATTTCCACAAACTGAGTTATTGTCAAAAGTATGTCTCATCGATA